ACTTAAGTATTTCAAATTCAGCCTTGAGGTATGCGTGGTTTTTACGTACGGGCACTTAAAAGTCTTAGCGAAAAAATTTCTCACTGAACAGCTAGGTTACTTTTAAAGAACGACTGTTATATAGAAATTGTACATTTACTTTGCAAAATTTATGGTGATTTATATTAGTGACCGCAAAAGGTAGGTGTAAAGCAACAGCCATTCAAGCAGTTAATGACCTGAGTAATTCAAGTCCGGTGCAAAAACGTATGATCGCACCGGTCCGCCCGGTGCTTTCCAGCCTGGGTTTTATTTTTGTATTTTATCATTTGGTTGGAGGTAGAGAGGCAAGGCGAGAACACCGTCTTTACACCGCGCATTTTCAAATTTTCATTTTTTCGATAAATGGCCGTTCGATAATTATACGTGAAATCATTCTTCACACTTCCACAGCATCTCATATGTGAGTACGTGGAAAGCTGGCGTAAGTAATTTTGCGACACCATAACCAAAATTACTTGAGGGCATACAGTTTTGTAAGCTTAGTTCACGACAATATACGTGTAAGTGTGTGTGAAACCAACCTTTCCAGGTAAGTGAACACGGAAGATGAAGCTGACAGTTTTATGTTTTCGTACGAGATCAGCGGATAAGCAGAAATTTTATGAGAGTGGTCGGCCGTGTTTGGTTTAGCGGGCGTAAAATCAATCCACAAGCCTACTGAAATATATGTTGGGATATCCGAAAGCTGATGCAAACTATTTTATGATTGGATTTACGAAAGTGCATGGTCGCTCCAGCAGTTTTGGTGCTTGCTGCGAATTATGCAAATCAGCACTTCCGAACCGTTTTTACATTCACATAATTAATTTCTGCTAGTACGCAGTGCCACATATTGCGCAGTTCAGCTCGCCTGTAGTCCCTGCTTTTTTTCCGAAATTTTTCAAGCAAACTTTTTAATGCTTTTACCCTTGTTTAACGAGTATTATTTCTAAATAATATTGTCATGTGGCAGTTTTAATAAAACTCTATTGCTGAAATCTATGGAAAGCGGACAGGTAGGAGAGGTACAGTAAATGGATAATTTTACTAACTGGATTTCGAAACAAGCATACATTCACCATAGCCAGAGTGATGAATCCTGCTCTTCCAACAATACGCACCCATAAAGACATTGCTGGCTGTACATTAAAGTACAAAATTCGCGTGGAAACAGCATTATAATCTGGGAAAAGTGCAAAGGAGCAACGACCAAAAGTTCAGCGGGCTTCAGGTATTTTATTTGGGATAACTCATTTCCCAATCATTATCCATTCCCTGAAAATCAAACATTTATTCGCTTGCCAAACATGCAGCGAAAACAAGTGTTGTTGCTTCCTATTCCTTGGCAACTGGGCGAGTGTGAAAGTTTTGTGTCCAGAAATTACTCATTGGTGTATAACTTCTCAACTCCTTGGATGGTCGTTGTCCGAAATAAGAATGTGTTTGCCCATTAATGAGAAGCTCTTGGCCAGAAGAAGTTCCACACTCTTTGTAATCATTCTCGCAGTTCACTGTGTGTAAGGAAAAACGCTTTTTGTGATACATTCAGAAAAAGTTGCCGTCAATACCAGATCAGCAAAAAAATATTTTCATTTCTTATTTTTATGGAGCGTTTCACGTTTTTACAATGAACTAATATATGGCTCACTTTTCAAACAACTGCCACGTCTCATCTACCAAGGCTATCACGAGCTCTGTGGCGTATCAACAACATTAGCATTGAGAAGAAACTAAAATTCTGAAATTGATCTAAAAAATTTCAGCCATTTCTTTGTTCATCATTCGTGTTTTAAAGTTTTACTTTGAAAAGCTATTGCTGGCATTCACTGTTTTTGTTAAATTAAACCTCTTTTCCGGGCAAATTCAGACTGCTTACTAAGTGTTATATAGAAAAACGAAAAAGTGGCAAACCATGTTCAGGATGCTGGGGAACATTTGACGCCAGAAAACAAAGTTGTGCTTAACTTTTTTTTGACCAGTATCTGCTCTTTCTCTTTTCTTGATTGCTTCGAAATATTGCAATTTAGGCCGGGTATTATGTTCTGTCTCGTCTATTCTAGTTTTTATGCTTCACTTTGTGGCTCTTTTGTATAATTTTGCACTTATTTACGATTCAGTCCACCCTGTGATTTTATACCCGGGCAACAGATTTCGCATCCGCTTTAATTGTATCATCCACCGGCTGAGATTTTGTTTCCTTCCACTTATTTTTTGCATTTTTAAGCCTTTTTTTATTAAAAACGTATTATGCCAGCCCACCTCTGTTTTATTGTGTCTTCATATCTTTGTTTGCGAGCTTTGTGTCTGTTTGTTTGAGGTTGAGAATAATGACACCTTAGAACTAAAGTTTTTGGAATGATGTCATTGACCATTTAAGGTACTGCTGCAAAAAATCAATGTATATGTTTTTTTGTATCCTAACCAATGATATAACTTAGAGTGCGAAGACTAGGCAGCCTAAGTTTTGGGAACATGGTTCGCTAATCAGGACGAGGTGAGTTTCTGGGAAATGATCTGGACTGTGCCGCTATAATAACCGACCGAATTCAGTCAGGTTTTAAATCACAGCAAAATGCAAGCTGCAGCCACTGGATGTTGGAATCTTCACTTACTGTGTAGTGTTGAGTGGACGATCTTTCACAATATGCTTTTTGATTTAATATCTGCCATTCAAACGCTAACTAAGATAAAGTTTTTGGACAGCAATCGATGGATCTGAAAATTTTCTCACGCGCTACCAAAAATTCATTCCGACGAAGTGTTATTAATTTATACAACTCCAAAGCATTCAGCTCTAGTATTCCCGTAATAACTTATTGTAAAAACGCAAAACTGCGCAGTTTTTAGCGTGTATTACTATCTATTTTCTTCATATGAATAATTTTAAAGCCCATAGCCCTGTGCTAAAAATGACTATGGTAACGAAAGTGAATAAAATACCGTTTCAAAATCTCAAGTCGAGTTAAACTAATAAAGTAACTAACTAGCAGATTTTGGGACAAATGATTCGCCTTGCTCTGGTCATTACTGCATTACTGGAAATAGCTATCAAAGCAGAACGGATTAATCTTCAAACCGAATGTAAGTTCTCCTGCAGCTCTTTCCAGTGCATGCTTATAATAAACCTGGCTGCCGTAACACCGACTGTCCATGCAAAGATGCGTTTTTTGTATTATTTGTCACGGAATTGTTTTTGCTAATAAGAGCAGTTACAAGGAAGGTACTTGTTGTTGCATAAACAGGTAAATGCGCTAGAACAGAAATGCGGCATTTTTTTAATTTCCATGAGTATCATATAAAAATTTTACGAAATGTGAGCACTCTAAATGCTTTGGTTGCGAAGTTATATCAAATTTCACACATTCGTACATGTAGGAAAACGTGATTGTTATTCCGGCTAAACTGGTCTTGGCTATGCTCGGAAATTTCAACACTTTAGCCGCTTCGGCTGCGGGATTACGTCAAATTTCGTGTATTTGCACATGGAGCATGCTTGAGAGGTGAAAGGAAATGGAAGTTCTTTTCATCTCTACCTGTTTGAACACGGTAGCTCACCATTTTCAATAAATTTTAGCCCTCCAGCTGCTTTAGTTTCAAAATTATAAAATTGTTTGCAACAAATTTCACGTGCCCGTATGCGATGTGCAGGAGATTCAAAAGCTCAGTTTATCTTCACGAGCACATTAGTGGATAAGAAACATCGTCGTAAAATTACAACTTCCCACTCACCTTAATTAGCGAGTTAGCAAGGTACCAATTTAAACTTCGATGAATCTGTACATTGGATCTAGGGGTGCGTGCGAAACTGAATTTAAATCCTTGGGGAACACGTGGGCACGGAATATCTTCGCGTAGTTCCAGCCTTCTAGCTTGCCTGGTTTCCAAAGTAGTTTAGGAGGGCATGGATGTTCGTTTTACACCTACGTCCACCCTCCCTCCTGCCCCCTCTTGACATAAGTGTGGAGTTGCCAAAGTCAGCTTTATAGCTTTCAAAAATTCCTGGAAGTCGAAATCTCAGCAGACGCACACACAGACAACCCTCGATAATGTGCTTTTTTGCATTGCATAAATGCAAAAATTTTTATGCAATGCAAAAACCCACAAAAAGTGGTTCCTCTGTTACAAAAGCAATCAGTTCCTGAATCCTTTGAATTTCCTCTGACACTTTTTAATGAACAATGCACCATATTTTCTGTTTTTGCTGACGAATTTTTGTTAAACTTGACAAGCATTTTCACAAGCTGAGTTGCAAACAAATTTGATCTAAATTTTTGTTCTGAGGCTCAAGGCATCTAATTTATGCGTTTTCGGTTCCTCTGACAATTTATGAGTTGATTCTTTGGGTCCACAGTTTAACTTTTCTAGAGCTTCATCGACTTCGAAAAGAAAGTATTTTGCTTTTTCCTTTTTCAAAAGTGTTTTATTTGTCTCAGCAGCTTTTTTTGCAACCAATTATTTGCTTTTTCTGAAAATAAAAGCTAGAATTCTCATGTGAAAGGCATTTATCCAATGAAATTTTAATGATTTCTCCAATTTAGAACTCTGATATTTTGACGAAATCAAGCTCACCCCTGCTCGTTTTATATTAAGAAAACAGTAGTTGAACCCATCGTTTAAACGTGTTTTACCAACAGATTAATTAAGAGCCAATCATCACAGTAGTAGGCACAGAAACATCCGCTGAGTAGAAGAGGCACATGATGTTGCTGTATTAATTTGGGTGTGGAACTGGAAAAAAAATTTTGCGAGTTTTTAACTATTTACTTGTTTTCACCTATTTAGCAAAAGATATGGTAACGAACAGAAATGACGAAAAGGAGGAAGACAAAGTTAATGATATTGATGAAGATGAAGACGGTGACGACGACGATGATGGTGATGATGATAATGGGATTTCTGGAAAAGATGATAAACGAAATGGCGATTTATACGTTGGAATTTTAAAATTTGCACATTCTCTAGTATCAAACTACACTCCCTAAAATGTGTTACGCGTTTGTGCAAGTGTAGAAGCGCTACTGCTACGTTTCATGACGTGTGTTTACGTGTGCGTGTGTGTGCTCATCTATTCCGGTATTTCAACTTGGGTACCAAGTAAGCTTTGATACTAAAATTCTTTCAGAGGGTTCTTGGCCACGTGTTGCCTTAGGAAAGTGGTACAGAATTTCACGCACGAATGAGTCGTACGCGCAGGCGGGCAAAATTTCTGATGGGAGAACTGCTAACCAGGGAACCAGAAAAACTGGGAAGTTGAAATTTTAAGGAGGTGTTCTCTGTCCACGTCCAACTTAAAATTACAAGCTCAGTTCCTAGGCACCGGTCTTTCGCGTACGGATGCATAAAATTTTTGGTGGGAAAACGTTTTACTCGGAAACCAAAACAGCCAGATTATTTTCAATGAACGACCGCACAACGGAATTCATTTCTCTTTATCCAAAATTTACGGTGATTCACAACAATGAGTGCACAAGTTAAATGCAAAGCAACAACCATTCATATAGCGGAAGTCGACTGAAGCTTATTAGGATATTCCCTGTCAGTGTGTGACCTAAATATTTCACACGTCTAGGTTTTCGCATTCGAACAAACAAGAAAGCTACTATGAGAATACTGTCTGATTTTGTGAGGCACGAAAAACAACACCCTAACGGCTCGTACTGGATATGGCAAATTTCAGCCTACAAAAGCAAATGATCGCGTTATAAACCGTGGTGCAGGTTGCTACCTGTACATTCACGCAAAATGCAAAATTGGGTAGTGGCGAATGTATTGGTATCCGAGCTTTTCAACTTTGCAGGCAGAAAAGTTGAGAAGATGAAACTTTTGGGGCTCAGCCTTAACTCCGTAATAACTCGGAATTGAAAAACTGTGCATTTGCGAAGCCTTGATAATTTGAAGTTCGCAAATGCTTAATGAGAGAGAAAATCTTGAGGACCAGCAAAACTTAAATTCCAGTTATGGCAAGTTATTTCATTGTACTGGAGTTCTGGCATACTGTCCCGAGTGGTCATTCCAGAATTTTCGCATTTGCTTTACATTTTTCAGTGTTTCTCGACAGAAATTCTTGCTGTTGGAAGGTATAAGACAATTTTTAGCCACTTCTTCACGATAACAAAAAGCGATTGCTGAGATTTGAACGAGCTGCTACACAACACGCTGCTCTCACGGAGGAAGTGGTAAATAAACAGGGCAATGATAAGGGCAAACACCGCTCAAGTAAAACTAAGAATATGGACAATAACGGCAGTGGCGATGGCAATGATCAAAGTGATTACGATGATGAAGACGAAGGAAACGATGTTCAAATTTTTAAACCTGATAATTACTTTACGATAGCTGCAAATTTCTTCAACCTTCAAAATCATCCGGGCATTTGGCACATAAGCTACTTTGGCCATGGCACCCATCATCCTTTTAAAAAATGATGAGAAGCATTTATTAGCGCTCACTTAATGCAGCGATAATATGGAATTTCAGTCTTCGGAATTTAAGAATTTTACATTTTTAAGCTCAGCTGCTAGATAAAAGTTCATGCCTACAGTAATCAATTTTAAGTAAGGCATCTTGAGCAAAGTTCTACGCATATCTGACCATAGAAAAGTTATAATAACGTTAGTTTTTCCGATGAGAGCTGTAACCACAGACAAACCTGTTTCGCAAACGTGAGGGCAGCAACACAGGCTAAAGCCTAAAATATTGATTTTTGTTCCGAAAGAATTAAAAATGAGTCATTTTGCTATTGCTTGTACGGATTTTTACCTACTCATTTCAAGTCCAGGTCCTAACCCTTGTTTACAATTAGATTCTACAGTGCTTAAACTGTCGAGCTGGTTTTCACGTGACAACTATGGAGCTTAAATTCAATGACATAAGCAATTTTACCAAGAAAAGCACTGTTACTGCTGATTTGTTTAATTTTAATTTTGTTACAATTACTCACTAAAAATGCCAAAATCGTCCGTAAAGCAAAGCAGCTTTTGACGCTGTGGAGATAGAGTCATTCACTGGGAGCCGCTATGCCTGCCTATTTCATCCTGCTCCGAGTTGCTCAGCAACATATGATAAACAAGGAAATCTCTAATATGTTTTGAATATTCTGAGAAACAGTAAAACACATGAAATATTCTGAAGTTTTGAAGGCGTTTAAGGAGGAACAAAATTCGGCTGAAGAGGTGGATCAGCGCTTTGCGAAACATCCGCTTCCTAAACAACAGGCTGAAAAAAGAAACACAGAGGAAGAATTATCAGGTATCGCTCTGCAATATTCATTAAAAATAACTGATGTGAAAATGACACCAGTGAGGAAAAAAAGTTCTTCTGTCGTTCTGTACCGCGGAAACGCCTTAAACCAGAGACATTTGTTTTTTGTATATATGTGTGCGAGTCTCTGTGTGCGCGTGCGCGTACGTGACAAAATTTCAACTCTTGAACCACGAATGCGAGGAAACTGGAATATTGGAGAGGAAATTCTCAGATCAAGAATGAGGCGTCAGAGCTCAAATATACACATACACACACACACACACACAAATACACACACATACATATATATATATATAT